GAGACTCCCCCCGGCCCCATATCCCAGCCGTGGGGTGTGCCCGGGACCCGCTGCGAGGCCGGGAGCGGCGTTTCCCTGAGGGAGACCCCCCTGGCCCCCTTCCCCCCCCAACCCTGGCCCTGGGGCTGCACTTTCTTCCTTCTCTCCTATCCTTCAGGAAAGTTGCCTTCATTACCCAACTGCACCTCAGTCCTCTTGCAGCCCCTCAGCCTCTTCCAGGATGTGAAGTTTCCACCCTTTTCCCCTGTGCAGACCCCCTTGCACCCCTCCACCTTTGGTTAAGAGGTTCTTCCCAGCCCTCCAAACCTGCCCCAGGGTCTCAGCAGCTCTTCTCTGTCCTGACAGAGGCAGCAGCCTGTGCTTGTGTTTGAAACAGGAGCCAGGATACTTCTGGTTTCTTCTCTGGTAAGGTATGGTGTGTGTATGGGCTGATACACCCGTTCCAGTCTTGGTTATGGTTTTGGTAAGTAACGTCAGATCATCTCTGTTGTTTAACTTACCCTTTTTGTCTTTTGTTTAGGAGACCTTTTACTGCTGTCCTCACACCCCCAGTTTTGCTCTAGGTGGAAACCAGAGCACATCCTCTAACTGGTCACCAGGGTTGGTGGCGGGCATGGACCAGTACCACTTCAGCGACGAGATCACCATTCATTCGGAGATGCATCTCCCTGGATTTTCAGAAAGTCAGGGGCTGAACTGCAGTGACACTCTCAACCACGATTTGTGTCTAAATACAAAAGACATGACGTATGCAGGCCTGAGCGGCTTAGATATGGTTCCGGGCCTTTCAGCTGCAGATATGGCCAGTGATACTTTGGAGGCCAATTTAAATGGACTCTCCTTGTATTCAGTGAAGGACTGTGATTCTGTTAAACTCCTTGAAGAGTCTGACTCTGACTCACAGCCTTCTTTGCGTGGTGAGTACACTGGACTTTGCTTTCACTGTTATTTTGAGGGGTATCTTACAGATCAAAGCAGCCAGAGCTATTTAGTAGTTTTATATAGGAGGAAGAGTCTATGTCATGGAAATTTTGAGGGGGTCGAAGTAGCAGGTATGTTTTTTTTTTTAAATCAGTTTTAGGTTCTTGTCATGTAAGCACTTCACAAATGTTTCTTGTTGCCTTTTACCTGTAAAATGCTATTCAAATTGATAATGCTGTAGAAGATAATTATTATTATAATACTTCTCTTTCACAGGAATTTCACTTCTGTCCTATTTTCTTAAAATTATACCCTAGATAGGAATATGTTTTCTTCAGAAGTCCTTGCAACCTGCTCTCCAGCTGGAAATGGAAAATTTGGAGGCATTAAAATGACAGATTTGCTAAATATGTTGTTAACATCTATATTACTAGCTTTCCCTGAAGCAGAGAAGAGACATTCTGTTTAATTCTTTTTGCATTTCAAATTCTCTGTGAAATGGATTAAGCAAAATGGGCTTTTTCTAGGTCTACCATTAAAAGTTAAAAGGAGAGTGCCTTTAGTGAAACGCTCCTCTTGAGGGAATGGATAACTTAATTGCTAATGTATATAAGAGCACACAAAATTTAGGTGACTTGAAAACAACACAAATCAAAAACCATAGCTAACAGCACTCAAATGAGAACATGAGATTTTCTCGTAATGACTGAGGTCTATGTTTTTATTGATTCACAAGCTAGTAGTAGCAAGGTGTAATAGGTCTCCCTCTCCTTTCTTACTCATAGGTAAGAAATCTTGAATTGTCTCAAAGTCCAAGCTAACGGGAAGTACCTGGTTTATCAGGCGGTTAGTCATCTGATAGCCTTAGATAAAATTCTGTATTGTTCAGTTGAACAAAATGGTTCAGAATTATCTCTTTTTCTCCCTCTTTTTTTCCCCCCAGGAAAGGGGAAAAAAATTGGTAAAATTCATTACAATCGCTGGTCCAGTTAAGAGGTTTGAAACAGCCAAGTGTGTTACGGAGCCTGTGTGAGGGTAGGACATCAGTTTATTTGTTTATGGAAACCCTAGAAATAAAGTATTTGCAGAGCTGCAAATCATAATAGTTGGAGCAGATTTACAGGATTTTCATCTCATTTTTATGCAGATAATCAGTTGTCGAAAACCTTGGACCAGAGTTCTCAAACAGAATTACGAAAAGAAACACTTTTTTATTAGGAATAAAGTGAAAAGCTTGTCGTCACAAGAGTAACTCGATATGGCACTGGGCATAACCTAAGGATATTACTTTCTCCCTCTGTTTAGAACTGGGGCTTCCCACACTTTCAGGATCTAAGGAAGTTGAACAAGGAGGCAGATCCAGTTCTGGTACTGCAAGGAAAGGAAAGCATCAGCACAACTCTCCTCAGACCTCGTTCCTGGATTGCAGTCTCTGTGGGAAGGTGTTCAGCAGTGCCAGCTCTCTTAGCAAACATTACCTGACTCATAGCCAGGAACGGAAACACGTCTGTAGAATCTGCAGCAAAGCTTTTAAACGGCAGGACCACCTGTATGTAGGCATTTACCGTTAAAAATGCATAGAGTTGTTATGGTCCGTTTCACAGATGTAAATAAGACTCCTCTCTGTATACTGTATTTTCCAATTTCAGAAGCTGGTAGAAGTTACAGCGCTCGGTAGTCTTTGTTAGTGTTCTCGGGTTAGCAAACACTGTCGAGTTGCATCACAAAACTATTTCACTAGCACATGCGAATGAACTTTGAATTTTCCAGAGCAGGCTGGTGCAGAAAAAGCCTCAAATGCACTCGTTTCTGTCCAGCTGCAGAAGGATTTGTAATTCTGAACTGTATAATAGGAATTAAAGTCTTTTTCTTTCTGATGACTGGCTTAGGGAAAATTGTATTGGTATTGAAAGAGTTTGTAGCGGGTAGTCAAGTTCTGATTTTGGCAGCCAATGTTTTAGGAACTGTTGCAGTTAAAGCTTGCTTGTTCATGCAGCTGCTACCTCGGATCCTAAACTTTCAAATGCTGTAAAGCATTTATTGTTAACTCTGAACAGCTTTTGATACACCAAACCTTCAGCAGTCTATTGTAGTTCTACTTTTTGGCAATGGTGGTCCAGGGTTAAGTAAAACAAGTGTGGTGCATCAGACCAGAGCAGTTGCCAACAGTCATGCATACCTCTTCTGTCCTGAAAAGTGGCTCTGTGAAGTGACATTGTGGAATTTTACAGTCACAGTTTTCCGTTAACTTACGTAGCATGCTTGCTTAATTTGGAAGATTTGGGTTTTTTTCCTCTCTCTACCAAACTTAGCCAAACTGAAAGACAATCGGGACCAGATTAGGCCCTCCCTTTAGCTTGTCTGGACTGATATCCGTGTGGATATTCACAAGTATAATTTGAATTATAGTCTGAAAGCACTGTGATTATAACAGTGCAGAGAGAGTATTTTGATTGTGGTAGTTGTTAGCTGAGAATGCATAAAAATCCAGTTCTGACTTAACAGCATCCTTGCTGAGTGTGTGGGGGTTGACAGGTTGAAAACCTCCTCCTAGATTTTAGGAGAATTTGAGATTTCTTTTGAACAGTTTTTTCTGGAGATATGCCAGCGACGGTGATAGGCAGGGGAAGTTGGGTTGTTCTGCTTCCCAGAGTGAAAAGCGATTGGACTGCAGTTTAGTGAACCTCTTCTGAATAGAAGCCAAATTATGCTTTGATTTATATCCTGTGCCACATCTTTGACTTGAGTAGAACTGTGCTAAATAAAAGGAGTGCAAGAGCTGCAGTGGTTTAGATGCAAAATGGTTTAATTGTTCAGTTGGAAACGTTAACATGCAAAATGTGCCTCTTCTTGGTTATCACAGGAGCGGGCACATGTTGACACATCAGAAAACAAAACCTTTTATGTGCTCAGAAAAAGGCTGCACTAAGAGTTACTGTGATCACCGTTCATTACGCCGGCATTATGAAGTGCAGCATGGCTTGTGCGTCTCGAAGGAGACTCCTGATGAAGATGGTGGTGAGGAATCGCTGCTTTCTCACAGTACATTTATCCAAGCAGGACAAGGCAGCGTGAGGGCTACGGAAAGATTGGCTGTGCACTCGGAGTCCAAGTCAGATTCTTCTCCACCCAGCAGGGATCTACTGAGATGCATTGTGAACAACTTTGTAAATCAGAAGCTTCCATCAGCTCCATTGTCCTCTGCAGAGCACACAAATACTGATTTAACAGGCTCGTGGCCACCCTGTTCCTCTTCAGCCAGCCAGGTCTCTTGCATTGCTTCGAGCGCTAGTGGACTTGTTGAGGCTGCAGGTGGTGACATTTTGAAGAATCACCTTCCTTGCCAAAAGAGTGCTGCTTCTTCCAATGTATATGCTATAATAAATCCTGGTAATGTATCTGTAATTGCACCAGGTGAGAACATAGTTACAAATTTGACTGATAGATCTTTGATGCCAGAGCCACAGTTCCCCCTGGAGCCCACAGGGCTTGAATATTGTCCTAACAATACTCTACCTTGTTTTCCCATGTTCAGAGGGCAGAAGACGTCTGCAAACTCTTACCCGCCAAGTGGTAACTTTCAGTGGATGAAAAACATGCCAGTTTGTGCTAAAAACAAAAGGAATAGCGTCTGTGTTGCTCACAAGCCATCTGTTGTAGCTCAGGATGTTTCAGAGGGGTTAGCTGGACCTTCCCACACATTCTCAGCCTTTCCGCAGACCTATGAGTGTCCAGACACTTTATCTTTCACTGTTGCACCTTTTAAAACCGAAGAGGAAATGTTGGGTGAATCAGCGCTTGGTTGTTCTGAGGAAACCTTTAGGTCAGCAAGAAGCCATGAGTCTCATCTGTGGGAGAGCTGTGGGGAGTTGAATTTTCAGGACATTCAAAAGCAGAATGTGTTCCAGAGTGAGAGCAGCCCTTTAGTCAGGCAGCTTGTCATGAAATCTCAGGAGTCTGTGGTGAGCCAGGAGCAGGTGCAAGTGCAGCAGCACCTGTTTCAGATGATAACCAAATCTCAGCATATTCTGTCTCATGCCCAAATGGTGGCTCCATCCCAGCTAGTGACTTCTGAGGCTAAACACATGGCACCAAAACCACTCCAAACAGTATTTCAGCAGCCGCCTCACTTGACTCACCATCTTTCAGAGCCAACAGAATATGAAGGGTCTTCCACGTACCTGCAGAAGAGCATAACCCAGTTTCAGAAGGACATTTTATCAGATAGTGAGGAAAGAGGACAGCAAACAGTCCCAACTTTTCAGTCCCTTCAGCCAGGACTTGTGAAAGAATGTGTAGGATTAAAAGATGCCTCTATTCCTAGTCAACTACAGTCTGCAATGCATGACAACGCCATGGGATACCATTCATATGGGAAGTCAAATCAGCTAGAAAACAAGCCTTCGGTATCTAACAGAAAAGAGAAAAGTAAAGGTTGTAGCAAAGAAATGGGCGGAAAAACACAGTCGGGTGTTGGTAGATCTCGACGTTTGCCTGGTATCCGTAAAGAAAAACTGAAATTTGACATGACTTGCGCAGCTTCCCCAAGTCAAGTAGCTATGGCGTCCTTCTCGTCATCTGGTCCTTCCTCTACTCCTGTGTTCAGGGAGAAGCCCAGGCTGACCATTTTCAATAGGATTCAAGTATGTTCATGTACTCTTTCTTTGTGTTTAGAAGTCTGTCATTTCAGTTCTTAAATGACTTAAATATTTTTCGTTAGATTGAAGTATAGAACGTGAAGGTGTAGTGAAAAGGTTTTACTTTTTAAAAATAGATTTTTTTTTATTTTAAGTACAAATACTTGTCAATAACCTGTTGTTTTATAAAGTACATGGAGGGGTTAATTTTATTACTTTGGAAAACAAACCCGGGGCTCTGCTTTGCAGTGAGTTACTGGAGGAGTCGGGAGTAGAACACAGGACGCCTGTCTTGGAGTACAGTGCCTTAGCCATTTATTGTCTTCCCGTGCTCTTTTAAGTGCTTTTTATTAGTGTTGACAGCTCTAGATTCACCAGTAATAATACTCAGCACTTACATGGCACTTTACATGTCCAGAGTGCTCTAAAAACATTAACTAATTAATCCAGTGCCAAAGGTTTAGAAATGATTTAACAAGATCAAGTCTTGGGATATTTAGTAACATGATACATAGCCTTTCACCTAGCTTATTGGTTTGGCTTGCGCACAGGTCAGTAATAATCAAAAGTTGCTAACATCTGAGCGTTTGGCAGGCTCAGTTCTGCCATGGGCACACGCCTGTAGAACTTGAACTACTTTCTCAATTGGAAGTAATTGGTATCTAGTTGCCTGTGTCAACAGGGAGATCAAGAGTCAATCTACATGAACTTCTCACCTTTAGAGATAGTCCCTTGAGGTCAAAGTCAAAATATGTTAACTGAGTGGGGTTGTATAAGCGTGTGTTAGTGATAAATATGCTGTATCTGTTTTTGGGACTGAATATCTCCAAAGTGTAGGGTTGATTTAAATTTTTTTTTTTTTTTGGTAATTAGTTGGACTTTGTGCTTATACACAAATCTGAAGAATTCTTGCCCTCCCTCAGGCATGACTCTGTTCTGTGGGGTGTGCTGCTGCTTTTTCTGAGGTTGTCCTCCTTGCCTAGGCGCAAGAGGACTGTAACCCCTCAAAGCAAGGAATCTCTTCTGCACTGAGGTTAAACCAATTTTGTGTTATTCTTTTCTGGTTTCCTTTTTGGATACTTGAAAAGGCATCTGTACTCGGGATGTTACTTGAACTGTCAAGGTGAGAAATCTGGTGGCTAGGGGAGTCTTAAATTTGCATCCCTTCGTAACTCTGGGAGATTTCAGGAGCCTGGGCTGTATATGGGGCTTTGGTGAGTCGTCCTCCTGCTTTCAAGCTCCTGATTGTAGCCAGGGACAAGAGGTTATTTTCTCTGTACTGCTGAGATAATGATTAGTTTTCTCTTAAAGCAGTGGCCCATCTTTCTGTCTTTCTAAGTCGCATACCAAAGTCTCTGTGAGCCTGAGAGCCACCAAGCACATACGTGCATTTCAGAGGGCTGTGGGATGGGGAAGTTTTGGAAGTACTTGGCAGGCTGGAGATACCCTTGGCTGCACAAGGGTCTCACCGCTCTGTTGTGAGCTGCGGCTGGGCAGGGCGTGCAGTCCCAGAACGACCTGACAACATGGTTTCAGCAGACTCTGACTTGATGCCAGCAGCAGCTGGGGATTTGGATTATCCGATACTCCCTGCACCCCTGGAGCTGTGTTGCTGGTCATGTGGCACAACTGTGGCATGGGAACCGTGTGTGGCTGGAGAATCAGAGCGTGGCCACCCCTGCTTAAACAGCTTGTGATGGAAATAATTCTGTTTGCTATCTGTGTTATGTAAATAGGGATTCATGTTTGCATGTGTATTTACAGTGTGCACATGCGTATCTAAGTGTTACAAGGAATATTGATTAATGACTGTAAAGATTTATGAGATCTGTTAATGAGTGTTGCTGTACTGTGCAAGTGCAAATTGTTATTTTCATGGAGGAAACTCAGATGTTCCATTTCTTTAAACGTGGAATGACTTTATTGTAAAGTTTTACTTGCAGACAGAATAACATCTGTTTTTGATTATTGCTTCTTTTAACTGCAGGGTGGAAATATCTACAGCCTTACTAACACAGTAAAGGAAGAAAGTTTGTCAGCTGGGTGGTAAGCTGGTTACATTGAAGTTTTGAGTTTTGCTTTTGTTTTATTTTTAAATTTGACTTTCAGGTCTGGCTTCTAGTGTGTATGTTAGCAGTTAGTCAGGTGCATTTCTTTTCCCTCGAGTTAACATACCCTTTTCATTTGACTAGCTTTAGATTGTGCTAATTAATAGATATTTAAATTAGAACCACAAGACTTTCAGAAATGTAATTTCTAACTCAATCATGAAAAATCATGCAGCAGCTTAAGCATGACAGAGGGTAACTTGAGTGAAATGTTTAAGGCTACTAAGGATGTAATAAAGAATGACTAGTCCTGTTCTTTTCACAAGTTACAACAATAAAAGGCCAAAGGATCACCGCGCAAGTAAGGAAAGGGAAATCTAGCGTAATGTTAAGAGATTCACGTAGCTGAAGGGTTTCCGACTGGCTGTGGTTAAGGCTTTACTCTCAATTTCATACCTGGTGAGTATCAAATTAAAAGAAATCACGGCTCTGCCGCCTTATCGACCTGTCTACATATCTCACAATTTACTGAATGAGAAAGTACGCTGCTGCTTGAAGAAAAGATTTTTGAATCTATGTCCTTCTGAATATCAGTGAAGTTGTGCACTGTCTGCAAAGTGCTACCTTATTTATGACAGTTAGCAACACGGCAGAAAAGGCAACTGTTGTCAGTCATTAAGAATGAAGAATTGCATCATTCTTTTTTGGCAACAAACGAAAGTCGTGGTTCCTGGTTAGCCATGTGAAAATATTTGTCTGGTACCGCTGGCATTGATAATCTAGGCAGTCTTTGATTTCCATATCAGAAGAGGTTCCAAGGATTAGCTAGGCTATAAAAATACCAGTTCTCCCAAGGTAAGGTGAGAAGTATGATGGTGCTGAGAAGCTGTAACTTCTTTTGCTTTCTTTGTAGTGTGGATAGAGAAATTGTTCTTCAGGACTTCTGATGTCACCTTTCATAAATGCTAAATTCACAAGGGGGAGTAATCCACAAATAATGCGCTTTCCATTAATGAAACCAAATTTTGCAGAAATTCCGCATTGTATTAAATGCATGGTTTCTAAAGAAAATGCTCCTGGACTTTTTAATGCAGGTCATTCTTTTTCAAAGTCATAGTGAAAAACAAAAACTTAGGAAAAAAAAGCAGCGTATCTTTTCAAATAATACTTGTACATAGCTGTTAATAGTTACAACTCATGCAAATGCTCAAAAGAGGAGGCATATTACTGCATCTCTTATTTAAAGCTATATCTTTGTAATGCTGGTGATTGATGTCCCACTGGGGATTTTCCTCTAGTTAACATCTTTTGCTGGTAAATGAACTGTAGAGATTTCTCAGCTAGACATGAAATGAGGCTCTACAGAAGGAAAGCAAGCATGTATTTAACGTTGATAGTGACTAAATTAATAAAAAAGGTGTCCAACTTTATATAAATGTTAATTTTCTATCCCTTTTCCTTGATTTTTCACTCTTAGTAATAAGGCCAGCAGTATTCCTGCAGATGGAGGCAAATATGAAAGTGATTTTCTTTGCAAGAACTGCAGTCAGCTGTTTTATACTGAGAAAGGTCTGGAGAGCCATATGTGTTTTCATGGTGAACAATGGTATTCACCAGAAAGGAAGGAGGAGCAGCAGGTAAAGGGAAAGTGAATCCTTCAGTACTTATTATTTAATAGGAATTTGAATTAAGGTCATGAGGATTCTTTAAAACCTGCCTGTAGTGTATGGGGGTAAAAGCTGTAAAGTAACTTAACCTTTTTCCTAAAAATTCTGATGAATAAAAGAATAAGATCCAGAATCATGGTGCTACTGAAAGTCCTTCAGGTGATTATTACGTAGAGGACATTCTTGAGCAATTGTACTGTTTTGAAATCTTTTGCTATTTCCAGTAATACTTCTTACTATTCAACAAGTGAAAAAATAAGTCTGACTGTTATAGCAGATGGTATGAACTTGGGAGCTCAGTTTCATAACAATTAGGATAAGGAATTGGTACAGTAAGGATTCTGTTCCAGACTCTAACTAAATTATGTTGTTTCTAGAGAAACTTATTCAGTGTAGTGGGTCTTCAAGCAGTATCGTCATCATTATTTTATATAATGGAGAAACATTTTAAGTGAATTGAAAGAATAGTTTGCAAAGCACTTTGACAGCCTCAGGTGGGTGATGCCAGAAGGTATACCTAATATCCTTATTTTTCTTTGTGGTAAGGTGCACGATGCAGAAAACGTAAACGTTCAGAAACTGTTGCTCAAGCCAACAGGAGATGGAAATAGTCCCTCAAGAACTGAGATGTATTTAGAAGATGTAACAGTGGCTCCTCTGGTGATTCCTGTCTCAGTACCTGTGACGACTACAAACCCGCAAGCAGGGAATGAAGTGGGTCACAATTGTGTGCTTAAAGTATTTTAATGATTTAATAATGACATCCTAGTTCACTAACTTCATTGGAATTGCTTCTTTGAGCAACTGGTCACGTATGTGTGAATTTCACTGGCTTAGCCAGCAGAGAGTATTTGTACTGTGTTATAGCTCCCTTAAATCCCCCCAATAATAATTCAAGTAACGCTACAGTAATGGACTCGATTGTAAAGTTTCCAGGGTCTGTCCCTCTGAGAGTAATTGATTGGAAATATTTTAACCCATTAGTCACCTTCAGTTGCATGAAACTAAAAGATGATGTGAGAAGTGTCAACGGTATGATGCAAGACAGATACTTGGCATTAAGAGTCTAGGAATTTTACCAGGTATTTTAAAGAATTTTAAGGCTATTTCAGAACGAAAACTTTTTCTCTCAATTCTCCCTAACTGCAAAGAAACTTGTAGAGGGTTCTTCTCAACAGCTCTTGTTCTCGTGAGTGTGTCTGACTTACCTAGAGCTGTCCACATGAGTAGGGGCTAGAGCAGAGGGTCCTTTGCCTGCATTCCATGTGTTTTGGAATTTGATGTTCATTATGGAGCTCCGAATAAAAGGTCATGAAACTGAGAATCTAGAAAAAAAGCCAGATATGCGACAGATACAGAGGAAAGCTTGAAACTGCATAGGATGTGTATGTTTTTAAGAGCCTTGAACTTGTAATGCTTACCTTCTGTGACAAACAGGCGTTTGACTGTTTGTCTGGAATTGTTTGTTCAGGTTAATGAAGAGGAAAGCCAGGATGCGAAGGACCTCAAAGAAAGCTTGCACCAAAAAAAGAGGAAGAGGCAAACTCGGCCAAAATCGCTTTTTATCCCACCTCCACCTTCTTCTGAAGTACAACCAGGGATGGGAGGATGTTACCAAAGTAATCTTCGTTCACCTGTGTTCCTGGTTGATCATCTCCTGAGAGACTTGTTCCAGTGCTCTCCTTACACCCCACCTCCAATGCTCAGCCCAATAAGGGAAGGATCAGGGCTTTATTTCAGCACTCTCTGCTCTTCTGCTAATGGTGATCCCAACCAGCTGTTCAGTACTGTATTAGGTAATATAATCCTAACATCTGCACTTAAATAATATAACTAGAAATGAATCCAGTTGGCTATCATTCGTTTTACAGGAACAGAAAATTAACCCACAGTCTTTTGTGCAGTCATTTATTCCAAGATAAATAGGTTAGAAATTAAAATGACATCCACCTTCCTGTATGATATATTATTATATAATATGCAGGCCAGTGGATATATGGACATTTACATTCAGCAATTTAAGAATAACTGCTGACCTGATTTTATTTTACCAGTTTGTGGTAAACAAACAAACAAAAACAACAAAAACCCCACAACTTAATCTAAGAATGAAATATATGTAGTGGCGACACCAAGACAATTAAATGTTAGTATAGCCATATCAAAGTGAGTTGTAAGTGTTTCCATTTGTCAGGCCGGGTTCTGCTAGTGCTAGGACAAGCGCGTGCATATGTCTATTTTAAAATTGCAAAAAACGGTACAGTGGGTACCTGTGTTTCACGGGCAGCAGCCGGTGCACTGCGATTTCCTCTGGGTCCCGTTTCTGCTGGGTGGTACGTAATCTGTAGTTATGTTTAGAGGCCACAGCTGAATTGAGGCTGTATGCCCACAAATATGGGCTCTGCCCATGCCTTTGTAATGCATTTCAAAGAAGGCTCTAAAACATAGAAGTACACGACTTCCAGTTTGTACTTCCCATTGTAGCTCTTGTTTTCTAGAAGGAGATGCAAGTAGCCTGCCAGGATTTGGCTCTCGTATTGTCTTTTGTTTATAAAATTAAGAACTGTTCGATCCATGTGAGGATGACTTTTGACCAGTGGTCAGATGCAACTGTAAAATTGTATCTGGATGGGCCATAGAGCTTGAGAGCTCTAGTGTGCAGAAGTCCAGTAAGCAGTTTCACCGAATCCAAGAGAATTCCAAGAGAATAGTTACTAAGTGGTTTGCTCAGATGAGAGTGAGAAATAAGGCTAAAGGACAGTCTCAGCAGAGTGATTTTTATCTTGAGCATTTTTATATTTTTTAGACAGAATGGACAGAGACTTTGGATTTTGCCTTGTGAAGGATAACACCAAAATCAGCATTGAGCCGTAAGTTATGACATAATAATTAGAATAATATGAAATATTTGGAAAATGAGTAATGAGGGAACTGCAGTTTTAGGAATCTAATGTCTGGTTAGTTCAACTGCGTGGCTGTAGAGGCCTTTTAAGTTAATATTCACCTTCTCCCTCCCACTCCCTCATGAATCTATCACTTGGCAGATTCTCTCAGTCTTGCATCACTGGTAGGATTAATAGCGTTTTTGGCTAGGTGATATCAGATGCTGGCCAGAATGAAGTTTCAACAGAATACCCAGTGCTCTCCCAGTGAAATATTGGCTTTGTTCATGTGTTAGGCTAGCATCGTAAATAAAGATTCCTGTCTCTCTCTCATTCTACAGGATATTCAGACATCTTTTTTTTTTCCTTTGTCATAGGCTTCTCTCTCTTTTTGTTGCCCATTATTGGTCTCAGTTTGAACCTCACGCTTTGTGCCAGGTTTGAGGAAGGGAGAACAAACTTTCTTAGTTGTGTGGAGGCAGAAGCATTTCAGAGAGAGCACAGTAATTCTGTTAGTGCAAAGAAGTGACTATGCTGAAGAGAAAAGGAGAATTAGTGATGCTTCGCAGGGAAATTTGTGTGCTGTATACATACCATATTTACTACACCTGAGCATTGCTCATTCACATATACCCTCTTTGTGTGTGTGTGTATGTGTATCTGCATGCTTAATATGATGTATCTGTTCACAGTTCGTTTCTTCCTCACCTCCTCTTTCTTATTACTTTAGACACATTAACATTGGAAGTCGATTTCAGGCAGACATACCAAACCTCCAGGATAGATCGTACTTAGAAAATGATGAGCAGGCAGCCTCGTTAGTGTGGAAGCCCTGGGGAGACATCGCAACTAACCAGGAAACACAGGACAGAGGTTTCTTTAAAAATTTTCTTTCGAAGCCACCCCCAAGATACTGTGATTAAAAACTGCCATGTTTTCATTACAGCTTTTTGCACTTTATATTCTCCCCCTTCTTTTCTTGACTTCCTTCTCACATAGTGGCAGTAGAGGAAAGGAATTTGTCAGTTTTGGTAGAACTGGAGCAGTAAGCAAATAATAACTGTTACGCTCTCAGTAGCATCTTCCATGAGAAATGGTGACAGTTGTCTATAGCCGTCCCAGTTCGTCTGCAGTGACCTTGAAAGAGGAGAGATTTGTCCCCGGGGTTGTCAAAGAAAACCATTCTTAACGTAGTGACAGCTAGGCCCAAACAGTCAAGACATCTAACTTTTCTCCTTGTGTTTTATTGGTATCCAGTTTGACTGTTGTAATTGGTCTGTTTTCCCTCTTGGTGTCTTTGTATTGCACCTTTTCTTCTTTCATTGCAGAAATTTACTTCGTTTGTTTTTTTGTTGCCTTTGTAGTAACAGAACTGCTGAATATGGCCTGCTCCAGTGTAATGCCCGGTGGAGGAACTAACCTAGAACTAGCCTTGCATTGTCTGCATGAAGCGCAAGGCAATGTTCTGGTAAGAAGCAGCTATTTGGTCATAATTAATAATGGCCTGGGTTGGGCTTTGCTAATGATGTGAACTGGCAATCATTCCATGTTTTCTAGACATAATCCACAGGCCAAAATTTGGTCTCTTTACTAAGCTTGCAGAAGTACTTAAAAATACAGCTTGCAGAGTCCTTAAACGCTGCCTTTTGCTACTGTCTGAATTAATATATCTTGGAATTATGAAGCCCATCATGGAAAGAACTTGTTTTGTCTCTTGTAAAATATGTGACAATTTGGAGAATATATGCAACACTACCCTGAGCATTAGGAATGAAGGAATTGCCATATTCGATAAAACCCAAGATCTGTTCTCAGTAAACATCTTGTATTTGGCAATTGCAACATCACTAGGCACTCCTTGCTGAGCAAGTGCCTCCAGTATGGGTCCTGTTTACTTTAGTCTGAGTGTGTTTGCTTTGCTTTATGCCCACTGAAGAAGGGATATAATGCTAGCAGAAAACTGTATATGCTGCATCTCCACGAGGAGGCTCTACTAGCACATGTGCTGCAGCAGGGACAAGCCCAAAATGACTACAGCAGAGAGAAATTTTCTCCTGAAGGTGGCAGGTGGGTCTCACAACTTAGATCCCAGATATTTGCCAATTTTTTCGATTTTTGTAGAACACCTAGGTGTGGAAATATGTCCATGAACTTCAATGGGCTGAGGTCAGACTCCTAGAGAGCGTTATGTCTTCACACCGAAATTAAATCGATACCAAACACTGTTGTTAAGTGTTGACCTGTATGAGCAAAATTTTCTTCTGAATAATAGTGGACTGAATAATTGAAGTAGCAAAAGAGCTGAGAGCAAGATTTGCTTCTTTGCTCCTCTTGGGGGGGGAATCTAAAATCTTTTGGTATTAAATTGCTGCAGGAGGCCCTGGAGATGCTGCTCTTTGGAGGGCCCCAGAAATCTGAATCCCATCCTCTTGCTAATTACCGTTACGCAGGTAAATTGAAAATAGAGCCTGTCGGTTTAGTCAATGATCAGAAACACTAGCAGAAACAGCAGTTGGATATGATTGCTTTTTGTCTATCTGTATTCTGATTTAAAGAGTTTGCTTTAAAAAAAAAAGGTATGTGTAAACAAAGATCCTCGTCCTTTGGAACAAGGAAAGTACCAGAAAAGCACTTCAGCTTTTATCCGTCTACAGTGCTTTCTTACACGGAAATGCCTTGTTCTTGTATTTCGACTTGCATCTTTAGTGTGCACTGCCCTGCAGTGACACCCAATGGGAGAAGCATGTTGAAATGTGGCAGTCACAAATACTCGTTACGGTAGTGTATTCCTTTCACTCCTGCCTGTGCTTTACAGCAGGCAGTGCTTACTATGCTGCCAATAATATTGCTAATAAATGCATGGCTGTATTCAGTAATTGTTTTCTGAAGGGGGAGAGATGTAGATACATGAATAATAAATACATTGTGCTGATTTCTGAGGAATGACGACCCATTAGGCTTCCTGAGTGATCTAATAACCTGCATGTTACTGTTTGTTGCTAGGTTCGGATGTTTGGACACCTGTTGAGAGGCAGTTGTTTAAAAAGGCTTTTTGTGTACACAAGAAGGATTTTTACCTGATACAGAAGAAGGTAAAGCCTCTAGACAGAGACTGATCTAGGGATAAGACTATATTGTCCGTTTGATGTTCTTTTTCTGTTCTGTGTTGATTAACCACACTTTATGTTTGCCAGTGGCTTCCAGACTGAGCCAGATAGTTTTAACTGAAGACTTGGATGGGGTAGTTTGCTCCAGACGTTGCTAAAACATGTTCACGAAGTTAAAAACTGTTCTTGCATTCTTTTTCAAAATTAGAATGCAAGATAATCTGTTTTTCTTTTTTTTTCAGTTTCTCAAAAATTCAAAGCAATAGGAGTTCAGAGGTGCAGTTTGTGTAGGTGATGAACTCAAAGCTGTAACAGCAAGAGTGAATTTGTAATCTTTTTTTCTCCTTTTAGCATTAAAAGGTTATACTTTTTGTGTTTTTACTTTATTTTTTTTTCTTTAACTGTTGCATTGAAAACCAGTCATTCTTGGTCAGGGGCTGTTAGTGTTGACAGGCTTAACACAAAAAGTAATGTTTTGGATTGTCTCTTAGCATCCTATTCTTTAAAACATTTTCTTTGCTTACTGCTTAAAAGACATCACTACAAGACATTATTTGCCCTAACATATAATTACAACAGGGCAAAATATCAGAGATATTAAAATAATGAAGCATTATGCTAACCAGCTGTATGAAGGGTACAGATTTGCCTTTCCAGCACTTCCTTTACAGCTTTCTTAGAAGAGGAAGATTTGTTTTCTGTCTCCTTTTCTGTCTGGTTTCACAGTCATATATACCTCGGAACTGATATGGCCCATGCCATTGTGATAACTGGAGAGAACAGGGGAAAAGGAAAGCTATGCTAGATGCATTTGTTGTGTATCTGACTCTTCCGTGTTCTACTACAGTATGTTCATTATAGATTGCTTCTGTTTTTCTCCTAATAGATTCAGACTAAGAATGTGTCCCAGTGTGTTGAATATTACTATATCTGGAAAAAAATAATAAAATTTGACTACAGTCGAGTTCAAGTAATAGAAAAAAAGGTCAAGAAAGACAAGAATGAGTTAGAAAAGACTGAAGAAAAGGTAGAAAAACTGCTGGGGATTTGTATGAGATCAATTCCATAATGAACGATGTTTCAATATTTTATGAAATGTGCAGTTCACGCTTCCCAGGGAGAGTCTGTGGCAGACACGTTCTCATTTTATTCTGCTGCTTCTCTGATAAACTTGTAAAGTTCTACAGAATAACTTTGAAACAACAAAGCAGTATTTCATAGTTAGAATTTTATACCATTACTCCAATGTGCCATTAATCTTTATAGATAGTATTTGTCCTTGATGTGCTGGCACCATTGCTGATTTAAAAAAGATTTAATTCCCAGCTTCTAATTACTAACATTAGTAAACCTGTTACCATTAAATTTGTTGCTGCTGATTGTCAGGGATAGTCTGTAACATGCCAGTACTCCATAAAAGGAGCTGCTGGCTACATGACTCTACCACTCTGCACGGGTATTGCTAAAACATTCATTGCTAATAAGCAGGAATTTGGTTAGTAGAAGTATTTTTTGTGATAGAAACTGGATAACCATGTAACTTTGAGGCTTAGTAATTTTATACTTTAAACCTGTTTTAAACTTTTATGGAGAGAAGTGCTATTTCATTTAGGATAGCATAAATATTGGGCTGTTCTTTACAAGGTCTGCGCTTCTACCCCATTCTAACAGCTGAATTAAGGTGTGTGTTGCTGGCTTTTGTTTTTATTTGCTTTTTTTTTTTCCTCCAGCTATTTTGTGTTCAAAGAAGTTCACCTGGGCAGACTTAGGCCAGTATAATTTTGTTCTGGATTTAATACACTCTTATTGTCTGGGCATTTTAGAGATTTTTTTTTCAAACTAGTCTTTTACCTCAGCTATTCCACCGCTGTGCTACAAACCTTCCTGAAGAGAAGGAAAAATTACTAAATGTTGTCCGATTTACAGACTGCTTGCAGCCCTCCCAAAAGACATGGTCATCTGCCTAAAGAAAGCATGAAGATGAAGCAAAAGAGTTATAAAAAGATGCCCCACAGTACATGGAGTCCATCCTGCAGCCTGAAAGGATCTCCATACCAGTCTGGAAGTACAGACGATCAGTGTGCATTTCCATGTAGAGAGTGTGAAAGGTATGGGTAGCTATTAATCATTGTTCTAGAGATCTGCTCATTTTGGCTGAAACAGTTTTAAACAAACTTTAAAAGCCAACCAAGGGGCAGAGGGGAAACAGAGCTAAACAGCAGTTTGAGGATTACACCTGCCCCTTGTTTTTACTCTACAACTAAGTTTCAACTTAAATGTATTTCCTGTTTAAATATGAAAGTCTCACACAAACGGGAGTACTGGCAAAATGAAGAAATGAAACTTTGACGTACCACACATCAAAATACAGAAAATCAAAGAAGTAGAAGTAATGAAGCTTGATTTAACAGTGTTTATCTAATTAGGAAAAGGAATTACCAACCCATGTTTGTTTTCCAACTTCTAGGGTTTTTGACAAGATAAAAAGTCGAAATGCTCATATGAAATGCCATCGCCTGCAGGAGCAGGTAGAGCCTCTCATGAAGATAAAATGGCCCTTGAAACATTTTAAAAATGAAGCAAAGATGGAAGAAACCCAGACGTTGACCTCCTCCAGTGGTAACTGGGAAACTACAATTTCAGAGTAGCAATGAGGTTAGTTTTCTCTGTTTAGAAAATACATAAGCATTTTCTAGCATCTGAGCAGTTGTTGCACTCTGAGGAGGATTAGATGACATGATGTTGCCCCCACTCTCCAATTTAATCCATCAGTAGCACAGCAGTAGTTGCACCAATGCTGAAAAACAATCTCAGCTTTTCCTAGCACAGAAAAGCTCTCGGTGAAGCTGCAGAGAAAATTTAGTTCCTGCAGAGAACATTCTCTCAAGGATTTCAGGAAGAAAAGCTGCAACTTTTTGTGTGTAGAATTATTTAAAAGCTTATTTGGATTTTCTCAGCATTTAGCACCAATGGTTGGTGTCAAGTTTGACAAAAAGGAATGTAAAGGCAGCAAATGTCCTCACTTATATCAACACTGCAAAGATATGTGTGTTAAATTAAGTATGCATGCCTGGCATTAAATTACAATTATGCATGGTTCAAAAAAAATAAGTAGTTGTTAATGGCTGTAAAATAGCTGTTGTACAAATACTAGAAGCTCTTTACTTCTGCTTTTGTTTAATTAAAGAAGTCCCCTTGCCTCCATTAAAAAGAAAAGTTAGATGCGCTTAGCCTTTACTTTTTACTATCAGTTTCAGGATTTGGTGGTTGTTAGAAGGAGAGAGAATAGGGAAATCAATGAGAAATTGTCATTGTATTTAATATCCTGTTTTGCCATAAAGTGGTAGTCATGCACAGCATTTCAGATTTAGAATATAGACTCTTCTGATCCATGTTTTTTTTTTTTTCAAATGTGCTTTCTACATAGCTCATTAAATTGGGTTCTTGAATAGCAGATGTAAAAGTTCCTGGACTACTCTTGCTGGTTATACTATAAATAATTAAAGCAAAACTTGTTATACTTGGTTGGTGGTCCGAATGCTGCATGCTACGTCAACATTAGTCTTGAAAGAAGTAGCTGAGCATGTACTTCAGCAAGTCCAGTTCCTCTCAGTCAGGTGGCAGGTGGATGTCAAGATAGATCCTGAAACGGTTTTGAAAGTTAAAGTTCTGCCGACTTGAGACCGCAAACCAGTTGAGTCTCAGGACTGATTCAAGACTGTAATTTCCCATTACATCATAGCTACTTCAGTCTTCACTTTCCAGTCCAAATGCAAACATTTCTTTCATCTTGCTATCACATAATACAGTATACAAGTCATTGGCATTTCTGTCTTGGTATTTCCAATAGGGTGAGGAATGGAGCAGGAGTTGCATGTGATATGTTCTATTTATTCTATCGCTGGAAAGTGCTCAGACACTGTAGTGATAAACGTGGTAGAAGAGCCAGAACGTGGTTAAACACGTTTGATCTGCCAAAAATATTCTTAATTATCTAGCAGAATCACCGATAGTATTTCATAATATTTAAAGCACCATATCCAGTTGTGTATTATTGCACAAATTTGTCTGTTATTTTATTTGCATAAATAACACAACCTTGCTAAACTGCATTTGGTAGTTAAAATTGAGGTTTTGATGAGTTCCATGAATAAAATATAATTAAGGGGTCTTTTCTCCACTGGGAGGGATAAAAGGCTTTTTGTTGCCAGGCCACAAGATTTCATGGCTTTGTTTTGTTTTAATTTTTGCAAGGCTGAATACTGATATTCAATACAAACAAATCTTTATTCCGGTCCCACTCTCAGCTCCATTCTCTCATTGAAGGAGCAATATTCAGGTCTGGGCCGTGAAAACTTGTTCACCCAAAGCAGAAAGAGGCTTCGCAGAGTAGGTACAAACTCTGTTCCTTCTCTTTTCATAAGTTACGTTCTTATATTTAAAAGAAAAAGAAAAAGTCAAACATTTTTTTTCTAGCCCTTATGATTTCAAAAGGAAACAAGCTGCCTTCTGAAAAGGGCCTTAAACAGAGCTTTGGCAGGAATTTTCCTTGTCTCGGTGTGCTGTTCGCTGGGAAGTCCACCACTTAGGCTGCATCTATTCACAGAAATTTCAACACTGACTAAAAAATGAATGGTGCAGACCTCCATGTGGGTAAGCACAATGGCTTAACCAAGATTTTCATTCTTTGGGAGGAAATGCAGGAAAAGTTTCAGCTGTTCCTGCTCCTGCCCCTGAGAAAGGCCTCCATATGCTACTTGAATGTATACTACGTAAACTACAGGTAGTATACGACGTATGTACAGGCTGGTGTTACCTTCCCAGTGTAGTGATCTGCTGTACGATGCTAAAGGCAGCCAGGGCGGACAGCATTCTTCTAAAGCTGTTTTGCTTGAATAATGAGCAACCCTGCCAGCAGACAGGAAAGTAGTTTTGAGGAATGACAATTTTAACATTAATGCAACAGAAATAAAATTGCAAAACAGTAAACAGCGGGTGTTTTCCTTAAAAAAAAAAAAAAAAAAAGAAGTGTAATGTGATGATGCAGCACTGAATAATCTTAATTATTGATGCAGCACTGAATAATCTTAATTATATACATATATTAACATAGTGACCTCTGCTTTATAAACAGTTGCTACAATTATAACTTATTAGCATATCCCAAAGGAAAATTCAGAGGTGATTTCAAGTTTAAGTTGATATAACTTGTAGGTTTTTTTCACGATCGTTGCCGGCAGTAAGCGTGGGATGCCCTGTGTGTTCAGTTTGGGCAGCCCTTTGTCGTAGGACATCCCAGAACGCGGTGCCCTAGGTGAAGTTAGTTCCACGATGCCTGAACGTCCTCTGGGCTTCCGTCCTTTTGTGGGTATCAGAAAACAATACAATGCAGTTAATTAAGGTGGTATTTGTGGATGAATTAATATTGTTGGCACACCTCTGTTTTGTATCCACGTGGGACAACAATGTCACAAGGCATATATTTGTCCTGGCAGTTCGGCGTGTGTCTGAGCCTGTTCTCGACTCCAGGCTTGCCTGCAATCGGTGCTGTTCGCATGCAAAGACGCGCTCAGGCATGGTCTAAGCCTGCGTTTGTGAAGCTGTTTAGAGGAGAGCTTGAATGCGTTCAGTGCTTTCGTCCTGGCCCAGGCTCTTGTGTGTCCCCTGGGTGGATCCAATGTAGGTAGGGATAGGTGATCTCTAGCACAGAGGAAATGCTTTGAGCCTGAGCAAAAAAAAAAACTGACTGTAGGCTCCGCGGTGGGCAAAAAAGCGAGTCCTGGAAGGAGCGGGTGTTTACACCTCCTCCTGAGCTTGCTCTTCACTGTGAATATTGCCAAAGTGATTACAAAAAGGCATAGGCAGGAATTTGGAAAAATATTCAGCATTGGCTCCCACTGGCGTAGATGGGTAACTGCACTGGGGGTGTTGGACCAACAACTGAGTGTCGGAAAGCCTGACACATCCAGTAAACACCTGCTGACCAATGAAAGAGCTCCACATACCCTTCTCCACACATCTTAGTGTAGACTTCTGTTACGAGTCTCATTACTGTTTCTCATTGATTCTAAAAAATCAAAGTTTTGGTGCAAGAACAGAATTTGGTCCAGATTCTCAGGTGCCAGGACCGCCCGCCGATGTTCCAGGGCGCTCTCGCTGGCGGCGAAAGCCTGGTCAGGCAATACAGCTGTTGCTGGGACAGCGAGGTACTGCCTGCTCAGTCTTGCCACGGCCGGGAAGCGGTGCTCGTTGCTTTTCCACCAGTCCAGGGGGTTGGTGCTGCGTTTGCAGAGGGGCTCTACAATGTAGTTTTCCAATTGCTGGTGGATCTCGGGCATGCTCTCTGTTGGGTCCTTCCCCAAAAGGATGTCATACATGCTCTGTGACTGGCTGCTTGAGCATCTGTCCTTGTGAGCAGACAGCTGGCTAGCTGTTTCTCCACCCTCTGCTTTGTAATCTGAGTTTGGCATCCAAAAATGGGTAGCAGATGGGGACTGGTAATTGAAAACCTGCGACAGCATATTTTTGACTCTTTTATGTAGTTCACTTCTCAGGCTGGGGCTCAGAAACCTCATCTCTTTGAATCGGGGGTCTAAAAAGGAGGCAATAACTGCTGGGCTTTCCAGCACTTTCTCATCCTCCGATATGCCCCAGCGCTGTGTCAGCTCTGACCTTATATTGCCTACGACTGTCTTGATGACACTGCTGGCCTCTTCCGACTGCTGCCCAATGGCAGTGACGATCCCATGAATGCAAGGCATCAGAGACGATATGGATACGTTCTGCTCCTCCCGCAAGAACGAAGTAGCAATCTTAATTGTCCTCATGACTGGTACCAGGTCCTGCAAGAGCTTCCACTGGTGGTCAGCCAAGTTCTGAACAGCTGCTATGCCTTTGGGATGTTCCTCTAAGACGGACATGATAGCCCACTTGAGATCCAGGAGACTCTCGCACATTTCAATTGTTGTTATCCAGCGAGACCCCACGTCCATCACCAGTTTCAGCTTGGTTTTATTGATGGCTTCTAGCTTACTATTTAAAGAGCAGGTGGCTTTTGCGTCCTGCTG